AATAAAATTTTGTGTAGATTATTGAAAGAAATAAATTTTATTTACTAATTAATAAAATTATCATTAAATATTAGCTTTTATGCACTTTTTTTTAGAATTTCAAACAAAAAAATTTATGAAATCTTGTCAAAAGCAAAACTGCAATGATTTAAAATTTAGTTTTTACCTAGTTTCGATTACGTGAGATTGTTACTATCCCAGTTACTTCGGGTAATTGAGATTTTACTGAACTTAAGGACTGCATAAATTTATTTTTACGAAGCTTAAAGTACTCTAGATGAATGGGCATGATATGAATTAGTGACTTAAATACTTTACGTAAGATTTTAAGCATACCATATACTTTTATGTTATTAAATTGAAGAGCATATCGTCACGCATAAAATATGACGCATAAAATTCTTGGACACTATAATTGCATAATCAAGATAGTGTTAAATTATACAAAATTAGTATCTTTTTATACTAGTAAACTTACCAATAGTAAAATATAAAATAATTTAAATACTCCAAACACTTTTAAAGCAAAACTGAAATAAAAGTTGAAAAAAGTTTTCAACAGAGCCCTATTTCTGAATTATGTGTAGATGAAATATATACTATATATTTCTACCTGTATAACAAATATGCAGCTAATGAATACTAATAGAAGACTTGTTTTTGTACCACATGAAATGTATATCGGTTGTCAAAGTGGCTCTTTTAAAATCAGTGCAAATACTGTTGTTGAGACAAAATGTAGTACGCAATATGTCCTATTGCTTGCTCTTTAACTAGCATCATTTCTTCTTTCATATATATGGTAAGGACTATAGCATCAAAAGTTTAAAAAAATACGGCTTTGAGTATGAGGTTTAATCAAAATAAGAGCACTTTAATTAGCTTATAATCATATTTTGTGATAAAAATTTGACAAATGTAAAAATTTAGCCTTGTGAAAAGTCATCCAAATTTTTCCTTAAAAGATAGAAAATGAAATAAACGTCAAAAATGGTAATGCTAATGGTTAAAAAATGCCTGGACATAAATTAAATATTAAGACTGAATAATTCTAATACTTGAATAATATAATTGTATCGTAAATTCATATTTTATCTTCAATCACTTGATTTGTTTTCTTAAATATTAGCATATATCAAACATTTTGCTATTAATAATTCTTTTAACAAAATTGAACTGGTCGTAAAGTTTGATTAGGCAAATGAAATGGGAATAATTGAAAGTTTAAGTTACGGAACTATGTGCTTCTTTAACCCCTTCGCGCCGACTGTCACGTATACGTGCCAGCAACGAACGCACTTACCTACCGGCCGACACGCAGGCGTGCCAGAGGATTGTTCCATTCTCTACCGACTGTCACGTATTTGTGCCAGTACTTTGGAACGTTTTTCAAACTATAATTTCTGCCACAAGATGGCACTGTATGTCCATATGGTTTCAGATACATGTAAATTAGACCTTCTACTCGAAATGAGAGAAGCATGACTCACATACACATGTTTTTGATTATATAAACAAACGGGGAAATAAATGTTTCCGAATGGCGGATGATTTATGACGTCTCTTTAAAATCGCACTTTATTCGCACGTGGTAGTTGTTTACTGTAAGTAGAGAAGTTTTATCTGCTCTAAAGCGTTGGGTATTTCGGTTTGCAGTTCAGGTTTTAGAAAATAATTAGATCTTGTTAGACGTGAATTCTTTGTTTTTACCGTTGCAATGTTGAAGCGTCGAAAATGTTTAACAGAGCATGAAATAGCAGAAATGATGCAAAATATTTCAGATATTGATTCTGAAATTCTGATATTCTGATATTGATTTTGAAAGATTAACTGAAAGACATTTTCCAAAACTTTTGTTCAGAAGAGACTGATAAGAAAATGTGACGACGATGCTTCGTTTGTTCACATTCCCGGAAAAATCCTCCAAAAACGGCAAATGAGTTATTACGAGTGCAAGGAATGTAACGTAGGACTGTGTGTAGATCTCTGTTTTCAAATTTTTCATACGAAAAGAGAATTTTAAGTAATATATTTAGTTTTCAGATGTATAATGTTAAAATTCATAAAATGGTGAGTAATTAAAATAAAATGTGTAAAATATGCATTTAAACAAGAAATAAGGTAATTAAAGTATATATATAAAAATATTTATAAAGCATAAGCCGTTTAAATACTCTATAGAGCATTAATAAACAATGAATTGATACTTCGGAAATTTCATGGATTTAGGCTTAGTAGCAAAAAAGCCCCCGGCCCTGGAGAGACGCTCCACTGCCGGCCTCAGCGATAAGCGAGCGTTTTCGCTACCCGGCTCGAAGGGGTTAATTTTATAATGAAACATAAAAAACCATAAATGCGAGTATATCTAAACTTTGGTTTTATGAAATTTAGATCAATCATTGTTAATTAATAACCAGGACGAACTCCAAAAATATTTAATTATGATAATCTAATGATTTAGTAATTTTAGTTCTAATTCTGATGCAGTTGTAAACTACAGATTTACTGTTTGGGTAATTTTGAAACTATAAAGAAAAACCTAAGAGTTTACGTTAATAACAGTTTTTTAGTCAATATAGACTACTGTTTTAAAAAGCAAAAATTAATGCTGGCAAAAAGATGATAATAATAAATAAAAATAATTAATTCCAATAAACTAATAGCATGTAATGACTGCTTTTATCTCTTCAGTAAACTTGTAACGGTATCACAGTTATTACAAAAAGAAATGATAATAATAATAATAATTTAGGAAACATTTTCAAAACTTAATTTTATTTCACTGATTTTTTAAATATTCTAGAAAACTAAATGTGAAAAATCAACGAATTTTTATTAATAAATGTATTTTACTTAATTTTCTTATTATATTTAAATACGTTCTGATTACTTATAAATTTCCAGAGAGGAATTTTCCCTTAATATTGACTTTTTTTGGTGTTAGTAATATTTATACCTATTTTTTCCTTGCATAGAATGGATATGTACTTCACCAAAAAAAAAATTAAATCTTTGTTTTTCAATTATTTAAATTTCCGTTTATTTAATTTAAATTGTTGATTTTTTTTTCTTTTATGTATAAGATTTCGTGGAAAAACAGCTGAATGTATTTTACGAAGAAAATTTATTATATATTTCAGTTTTTGGAAGTGTTAAGTATTCCCAATTCTGCAGGAAAAAGAGAATTATGAACGAAATTCCTTAATGAACTTTATTTTGTTGAAACCTCTTTGTGCGATTAAGGTGACATAATTCAATGTTATTGTAACGATAATACCTTGATACTTCCGAAAATGTATGTATACAAAACAAGAATAATATATATGTATACGAATATGTTATGTATACCATAGACTATTTTATGCCCTATTTTATGCCACACATTTCTAAAGAAAATATATTTCACTTATTTCAAGATATTTTCTAAAATACGATTGGTTATTAATGATTTTTTCAGCTATAAATATTTATAATAAATTAAATTTAGGTGAATTTGGGGTGGAATTACATTATCTGTAACAGTTAATTAACCGAGTTTAATGTGTACATTTAAATTTTGGAAAACCAATTTCTCTTCCTTATTAGATGAACTCCGATGATTCGAAAATATTGCTCAGTCGAAGTTTCCCCGAGGTGAAATGTATTTCAAATTAGAGATAATTTTTTTCGATAAGTTTAATTTTATTAACTTCTGTATTCCTTGAATGGAAATATTCGATAATTGTAAATTTTAAGAATAAAATTTCGAAAGATGCTGAAACAGGTTTCTTTACATTTTTTTTCTCGATTAGTGTGGTATCTCGATTTCTTGATCAGTCCTTCCAAAATTATTAAATCAAGTTTAGCACCAGCATTTTTAATAAGGACGTAAGGACGTTAAATGAAAGGAAATCCATACTTTCGTGGTTTTATTAAATCATTAAGCCATCTCCTTAAGCATCTGCACTCTTGCCCTTCGGAGCATTTTAAAATGTACTTTTTGAAAATTATTTTATAAATGCAAACCATGTTCTTAAATAATTCGGATATATGAGATCCTCATTAGATTTTTCGACATTCTGTAATTTTATTTTACATTTTGGATTATTTAACGCATTCTCTTAAGAAATCTGAAAGTAATCTGCTCTGGGTTTTATCATATTGTTTTCGTTGTATTGCTCACTGTTATTGAAGAAAAGTTTATGCTAAGAAAACAAAGGAAACATTTCATTAATTTTCATAAATGCTTACAGATGAACGCATGGCATCTACAATAGGACCACGTGATACTGAACCATTTTTACAGCATTTTCTAAATGCAAATACGATCTTAAAAAGTAAATTGCTTTATTCTCAGTAATTCTTATGCAACAAAATCCTTTTATCATTTTTGTGCGTAGTAATTTCTAGCTTGTTTTGTTAATATAGTATATAGATATCTTAGGGATATATGATTTTTTAAGCAGAATTTGTTAGTTGCTTCATCAGCTCGAATTCTTGAAGAGTGATTTTTTTTATGCTTTCTTCAGTTTCGACTTATTGTGATCTATTGCATAGCTCTGTATTTAAATCTTCAAGAAAAGTTTGAGTATCATCAGCAAAAAATAAAAACGCTACTATAAAATTAATTAAAGTAAAAGTAATGTATAATATTCTTTTTTACAGATTTTTCAGTTTCATGCGTTTCATAAAATATAATTAACACCGATTTTTAAATTAACTGAAATTATTTTATTTTTAGAATTATTTGCACTCAGATTTAGAGTATACCTTTTTTAGTACAGTAACACTTGATTTCACGGCTCCACATTTGTCTTACTTTATTAAAGTTTTTGAGAAGTTTCTTACGTATATGAAGCTAAATATCTCCACAATAAAAAATAATTAACTGGCAATCTATTTAAATAAAAAGAAGAATAAGTTACCTAAAGAGAAAGTGCATGCATTGAATAAAAAATTAACAAATTAATAAGAACTAAAATTTAAATGATTAGATCAAAAATAATTTTTCCCATACTCACATTAAGTCAGTAACATCACCAACAGCTTTTCAACTTGGTAGCAGCTGCAACTGTGAGATTATTTCGACAAAAAAGTCTGACAGTTTCGGTTCTTCAAACTAACGATTCTAACTAACTCGCATTCGCAAAACAATTCGCTGGAGTTTTATGCAAGGCATACATAAAAAAAGGCAAATTCTGACGTTTCCATGGCTACCAGCCCTTGATTCACGAAACTTCATGACATGATCGTCGAATACAGGGGAGAAGTGTGTGTAGGTGGGGTGCATCGCTTGACACGCCCTTGGAAGTTGATTATGGCAATTACCAAACTTCGAATCAATGGAAATATACGCTAACAAAATGGTACACCGGACTAAGTCTCTTTTATACAAGAGAGTCTCTTGAGGCCTTGGTCTCCAGATAATAAAATGGTAGATTTGTCGCTTATAAAGTAGGGTGTTATATAGAATTAGGAGTAATATTTTTTTCTGCTTTACAAGATGAGACAATAAAATCTTTGCTGAAATGACAGCGAATGTAGAAATAGGTTTCTAGAGCTCTCTGATCATTCTGAATAATTTTAATAGTGGAGAAAAATAGGATATGGAACTCTTAAAGTTATTAAAAATTAATCGTTGAGTGGAATAAAATGCTAATAAGTCAAAAACTAATCAAATTTAAGATTGTTTTAATAGAATAACATAAAGTAGCAAACACTGTGCATTTCCTTACAATTTTTCTAAACACTCATATGTTTTACAAATGTATGCGAGATTTTACTTAATTTTGTAAGGAATTAAAGGCACGGTTTAATTAGCAGCATACCCTTGTGCTCTACTGAAGACATAGTTTCGATTCCAAGTAAGGGTACAACAATTTTTTTATTTTTAGAAATTCTGAATGTGACCCGAACCCAAAAAAGGTGGTGGACAATAATTATTCATGAACTTAAATAGGGCGGCAGCGGATCTCATCCCCCTCAGACTGTTTAAGACTTCGTTTCTAAAATCTTGAAATGTCTACAAGGGATCCGGAACTAAAACAAGGATTGATAATAATCCTTTATGAACTTAGTCAATTTCGGATACCTTTTCCTTTCCGCAGTCATTTAGGTGGTGTTAAGGAGAATGTAAGGAATCAGGAAGTTTCTTTTTGTGTGCTATTGTGAAGTAATGCTCAGTATAAGAAATATTTTTACTGAAATATTAGGTTCGATTCTCAGAAAGAGACTAAGAATGTTTTCAAGAATTCACTGCTCCAAAAATTCTTATGCCCCTGTAAGATCGAGCTAAAAACGATGTAGAAAGTACTAGTCATTAGCTTGGATTAGTTGACTGGGTGCTGCTTCCTTCCAATAGTCGCCCTTATGTTCTGATGGGGAAAACGTAAAGAATTAAAACACATTGTTCCTGTATGGTGTAGTGGCCAATATAACACTGCGGCTTAACTGAAAATTTGTTTCCCATTCTGGAGTAGACACAGTGAATTTTTCATGCATTCCAAACATGCGTTGTTAAGATGGATTAACATTACTCGTAAAGTATACTTTCCAGCAAGCATGGCAAGTTCTCAGAAAAGTTCAGTTAAGGAAGGAACTCATATAACGCACTCCTTTGCTAATTTCTATATAACGCAGTCCTTTGCTAATTTCTATATAACGCACTCCTTTGCTAATTTCTAAAGACCTTAAAACATGCCGTTCTTCTTTTTTAAATGAAAAAAATGTAGCCAAATTTGATGCATATCTCATTTAATATTTTAAGAATGTAAACACCTTCAGCGTATTACTTCTTTGTTTGCTCTTACTATTATCGCTTCAAGATTAATATTTTTGCAGTAAACGTTCACGTTAAGCTGTAAATAATTAAATAAAATAAGTTTTATTCGCTAAAATTAGCTGATTTAAATCATAATTAACTAAATTTTACTTAAAGAAATAAAAAATAATTTTCTACTCTCTTTCTCTCTCCTCTTCTCTACACACCAATCTTTTTAGAGTTTGATTTTTGGAAATATATTTTTGTATAAGTTGATAAATGTTTATACACATTATTAGATTTAAAATATATTTATGAAAGGTTATAAAAGTAATTTTCTGAGAAAGAAAGGACATAAGTGCCGAAAAACTTGAAACCGAGAAAGCCGTTAAAATTAATAATAATTAAAGAAACTTGCTTTATTATACAAACTCCTTAAAACTCTTGAAACACTATATATAGTTTGAAAATTTAGATAAGGCCAAAAGTTCCGTCCATGGAAAAAACAGCGAATCTATAATTTTATCTATTTTTTTTCGTAAGATAATTTGATTTTCTTCTTTTAACTGTTTTAACTGCAACAGGCGTTTAAAAATAGTTCTGTTGTTAAGCCTTTGAAAACTAAAAATTTGCCTGATCACGTTTTATGTTTTTGCGTAATATTAATAAATAACATTTCCATAATGTTCGAATAATTCCTTATTCACTTGCCTGTTTCTCATAAGAAAAAAATAGTACCGATGTTTTTTAAGTCTTAGTTTTTTAAGTCTTTTTTAAGTCTTAGTTTAACGCGTGAACCAATCTCCTTTCTCAGTTCTATGATAAAAACATAATGTAAACTTTAATGCTAGAAAGTGAAAGTTCCATCATTTGAATTATAAGAGTAAAAAATACTGAGATTACAAACATCTATAATTTATTCGTATTTTCATATCCTATTACATTAAGGATGTTAAGCTACCATAGCATTAATAATCCACAGTGCATTCCATATTTTCATTTCTGTGATACTAAACCATTCCAAGAATTTTTATTTTTAAAATTACAGCTTATCAATGTACCAAACTGGGAGAATAAAGTAATATATGTAATTTTTCTTTACATTTTTATGTCATTTCCTGTGTTCAAATGCTCTCAGTACACTACTTATCAATGTAAAACATGAGCAATTTAAGAAGAGTGTGTCTCTTCAAAATTTGTTTAAAGGTCAGTAATAAAGTATGCTGACCTTTAAACAAATCTTGAAGTAATTACGAAAGTTATATAATGCAGTTAACTTACAATTTTTACCCTAAAGGGGGTTAGCCCAGAAAGGCTATTAATTTCGTTTTGGCATTTTGCGTCGATTCACTATAAACGGCGAATCACCCTTCAAATTGTTGTCACCAAATATTATCGCCCTACATTAAAGAAATTAAATAATGAAGAACTGGCATAAATGTATATATGTTTCTCGCATTGGCGATAAAACTACGGTAGCTAGAGCCATCAAAATTTGAATAACGTAATCTTCTATCTTCTATAAAATATGGGCACGTGGAAGCCCTAATTGAATTGAAATTTGTTTTATATCGATTTCAGATTTGAAACTTCTAACTAATTTTTGATTAACAAATCAGTGATTCAACCCAGCCATGGCAACATTATACGAAAAAAAAATATTTTTATCTCCAGCGTGCGAAACTGTGTATCGGAAATTCTAAAAATATGCTAATTTTAAATTTATTCTGCGATATTGTTGTTGAATTTTTTATGGTTTGCGTACAAAGAACTTGATAAAGGTAACACATAAAATGTTAAAAAAACGTCGCTTTGGGCGTAATATAAACCTGAAAACTTTAAAAAAATTTTATTATTATTTACATCAATTTTGCTGTTGATGTTAAATCACCGATTTCAAATCAGTTTTTATTTTCTTCTTCATTATATCACATAATAAACATATATAATGAACTTTCAGATTTATATATAGATAACTCTCTCTCTCTCTATATATATATACAGTTCAATGTACTTATTTTTTAAATTTAGACAAAATTTCATAATTTTTCTCATAATTCATACATAAGAACAGTGTAAGAAAACTGTTTCAATATAATACTTGTTTTCTTAAAAATATCTATTGAAGAAGACTCATATAAATACGTCATAAGGTCTTATTTTTTTAAAACAAAAGTGGAAAATCGAAGACCAACTCTAAAAGATAAAAGAAGAACGAGAACACAATTTCCCTGTTGCCACAAGTTTCAAAAGGAATTATAAATCCAATCAAAATCAAGTGAATTAATTTTTTCCTACTCTTGTTAACAGTTATCTAGAACAAGAGAGAGAATTTAATTCTCAAAAGTTAGTAAATAATTTTTCCAACGCCATATAATATGCATCTCAGCTAGATAATAACCATTTGCGTCTATAAATATGCAATATCAGTTTTTATTTTTTCAGATAATAACAAAACCAAAGTATATTTTAAAACCGCTACAGGAGCGGAATTAATTCGTCTACAAAAATAAATTAGACAAAACTTCAGAAAAATTATATTGTTCTTTAAAATAAAATAAAATAAAATGAAAATCTGAAAGCCAGGCTTTTTTTAACGTGTTCTGTGTTACCTATAGTTATTAAATGTCATGTTCTTCGCTTAAACCATAAAACTCGATTCAAAAGCAATATCGCAAAATAATTTTAAAAATGTGCATATCTTTAGAATTTCCGGTGCACAGTCTCGCGTGCTGGAGATAATTTTTTTTCCGGTACAGTATTACCATAATTCGCTTTGAAATCGTAGAGTTTCTTAATCAAAAATTCGTTAAAGTGTTACAAAATAGGAAATCTATAATAAAACAAATTCCAAATTCCAAATTTGGGTTTCCAGATGCCCCTATCCGAAGGAGGATTACGTTATTCAAAATTTGACGGTTCTAGATACCGTTGTTTTATCACAATGTGAGAAACATACATACATTTATGTAGATTCTTCATTATTTAATTTCTTTAAATGGCTGTAACATTTGGTGGCAGCAGTTTGAAAAGTGAATCAACGCAAAATGCCAAAACGAAATTAATAGCCCTTCTGAACTAACGTTCCTTTGGGCTAATGAAATGCAGAATAACAGCAGAAGGAAATTCTGTTTGCATGTTCCTTCTACTGTTTCACCTTCTAAAAAAGCAGCTTATGGCTTCAATTGTATGAAAATTAGCCCTATAACTAACTTTTCCTAAAACAGCTGGTGAAAAGAAAAAGTAAATAAAACTTAGAACAGTTAAGATTAAGTTTCTTCTGATAAAAAGCAATTTCTGAATCTCAGTCAAAGCGCTTCCGATGAAACTGATAAATGAGCTAACTGGCTTTAGGCTTACGAACTGAAAAAAATCGATGCAAAACTTTTCTCTTTTTCCACTTTTTT